TGATTTGCGTTTACACATATCCGCAAAAATGGCCAAAAAAACGCTGTATTACGTATGCCAGGCCAGTAGTTGGCGCTGTCATCTTGTTAGTAAACAGGACCTGTAGGGAAGTGATGATTATATGTTGTATATGATGCGTCTCCGCTGTTGGTTGTAATATTGGTGAAGTAAATCTGCACTTTGCTGAAGAAGCGTTAGCAAACTCTTGAGCAGCAACAACTGTAACATGTACTCTGCCATTGTTGTGTACGTTTGTTCGCACTTGCCTTTAAAATTGACACGCACTGCGCATGTCTACATACCTAACACGTACTACGTACGTGCATGACGTCACCATTTTCAAATATTCCCGTTTTGGGTGTTTACACGGAAACGATAACTGTGCCGTTTTCAAAAACTTGCACTTTGAAACCCGTTTTCAAAAATATGCATTTTCAGTCCCCAAAACGCCATTGTCATGTAAACGAACAGCAAAACGTATAAAACGTTTCCCGTTTTTGGCTAAAAACATTGTCGAGTAAACATGAATTGATCATTTTCAGGGACCTCAGGAAAAACAAAAAATAAAATGTGACAAATAGTATAGTCATAGTGTATGTAAAACTGTAATTTCTACTAGGAGCTAGTAGGAGCACTAAAAAATGCAAATATAATTATATAAATATAATTATTGTTTTCAAACAACTTGAATGGGCACAAACCCTTCACTAATATCTAGAATGAGCTATGACATCCAATAGAGCAGATAGGAAAATAATAATGTACTGTATATTAGGGGTCGGCAATCTGACGATTTTATATCGGGATCGATCTAGAAGACATCTACGATCTACTTTTCAAGCGAATCTTAGAGATCGTGATCTTTTATGTTCTCGTAATAATGTTAAAACTACAGCAATGACTGCCTACTAGATGACTATGACTGGCCAAATTATATCACGTGTCTTTATTATGTGTCTTTCATGCGTGATGATGTATTTGAAAACAATGCAATGTGAGCTAGCAATAGTAGTGCGATGAATGAAATTTTAAATTCAGTTTCGATTTTAATAAAACGATTATTAAACCACTTGCCGTTTCTTTAATTTAAAGCAGTGTGCTTTTGACCATCCTTAAAAGCTTAACGCCCAAATAAGTCAAATCATGTAACGTGACTGTCGTAAAAGGCAGTTTTCTGCGAGACGAGCTTTATTTAAAAAAAAAGAGTTATTAAAAGCACATTAACTGCGAAAGAGCCTGTTCCTCAGGCACATTTTGTGTGAGCGCTCCGGCACAGAGCTAAACACGAACAAGCAAAGTATACTTAGGGTTTCAAGTACACGCATAAACGGTCAAATATACACAAAAAAAATGTCAAAAAATGTCTGTCTTGGCGAGTATTTACGTAAAGACAATCAGTTATGTCTTAAATTAACAAACAACTGGGAAAGAAATTGGATGCGTGTCAGTATTAGATCTGTGCTTTCGGTCTTAAAGAGACAGCAGCCTAATAAACATACTGCTGTCTGTGTCATTCATGTTAAACAACAAAAGACAGAGAAAATCCCTCACTGCTCTTGACTGAATCACTAACTTTATTAAGAATCAATGTATATTTAATTCATACAGTGATGCAGGGTTTTAAAGTTTAACTCAGGTTTTAGTGACCATTTTGACAACATATTGTTTAATGCAATATTTTAAATTGTTCAAATAGATAAGTCATAAGCTTGTTCCAGTCTGGATATTCTCAATTTGTGAAAATTGTGATTCATATCGTGGATTGTGATTTTGCGTTATAAGATCGTGATATGATATTTTGGGGAGATCGCCCACCCCTACTATATATAATTTAATATTTTGAGAACCATTGAATCAATCAATCAATAGGGCACTGGTAAAATATCCACTAAAATATAATGAAATTGTTTACAAAAAAAAATAATTGCTGCCAGAAAACATGGTTACTTTCGAATGGCAGTTGATGGAGGAGAAAGTTGCATTTTACAATCAGACGGTGCAGTTATGACATCTACCAGTAGGCACTAACTAGCCAAACCAGGTAGTCCAGCACCAAATTCACTTTTTTTAATCCAATGTTGTTACATTTGGGCCATTCAAACAAACTGGTGGTGCCAGTGGCATAGAAATTACATACTTCATCTGTAACTAGGTGAAAGAGAGTGATTTGTGGAGTGATATGATCTTTGGGAGCGTAAGCTCTTCTGTTACGGGAGAAAGTGTCTCCAGCGGTCTTACAAACACTATCACCCACCCACAATCCAGCTACTCAGAGTTTATAAGCTCTTTGGGCTGGTTCAAGGGCACAGATTAAGTTGAAAGACGGACTAAAAACAGCATTTAAAGAACGATCAGCTCCGACAGAGTGATTTGCTCCAGTACTCGGCTTAATGTGTGTCTGAAAATGTTTTACGTCTAAATAAAAAATATAATTTTTGAAAAAAAACAAAAAAAATACATATATATGTATATGTGTATATATATATATATATATATATATATATATATATACACACACGACAGAAGTTGGCAAGAACACCACAAACACATACCTCAATATATACAGTAAAATGTATAATATACATAATTATATGTAAAATATATATAAATATAATTATATAATATAATAAAACACTTTGTTGTTGAGTGTGACCTGTCCTCCATCCAAAACCATATCCTCTCATCTGCTTCAATGGATGAAATATCGCTCTCTCCGTCAAAAAACACTTTTATTGTCTGGCCAATTTTATTGTTATACATTGTTTAACAACTTCTTAGAACAAAATGTTTGTTTTTCGCGTTCTCTTTGATAGTTTTTGACGTCTAACCACCTTTTCCCGTTGTCTCTCATAGGGCGCTCTTTACGCACGGACGCACAAGTTTCCATTATCCTTTGCGCACGGACTTTAGTGCATGATATGTTAAACCTGCCCACTAAAACAACATATTATTCTGTTCAGACGTTCATTGGCTATCAGAAATGACAGTCATTTGCAAACTCTGATGCAATTGGATCGGTCTACTGTATATGTGTATATATATATATATATATATATATATATATATATATACACACACGACTGCCATGGTAGGAAAACATAAAAATTACTGAGTGCCACTTCAAATGAAATTAAGAAAAAAAAGGTGGATCCATCATAATGAGTCAATGACAATAATGACAGGTATCTAACGGGTATGTAAATGTGTATGTTGCAGCATTATAAAAAGTGGTCCATCACATGGATCTACATTACCTTGCAAATTCAACTAAATGACAGTACATTACCTTAGCATGAACAGGCCAAAATTCTGATTAACAGTTATATCTTAACTGTTGTGGCTTGTTTCCAACAGCTACTCCTTTTGGACTGCAGAGGAAGTTCTGAAAGTTCCAGAGTGTTTTCATAGTACATCACGCTCTTTGATCACAAACGATCAAGGAAAACTTGACTACTCATGATATGACCCCTTAAATATTAAACAGGAAAGTTTCTAAGCAGATTTTCCCAGCAAATGGCACCATCACTTCTGATTTGTTCTGTGAATTTGAGTTTTGGCACAAAAATCTTGCACTGCTCCTCACAATACAGAAGCTCTGAACTAGAATTAGTTTTTATGATTAGGACTAGTTTATGCACAGACACCAGTCTAGCCCCTTGATCCAGAGCCTGGACCGTATATCGATCAGTATTGATCTCTATAGCGTCCAGCAGTGAAAGTGACAGAGGGAGAGTGATAATAGGCTGAATTTATAAGCTGCATGTGGTTGTGCGTGGTGATTTATACTCCTGGTGTGGGATGACCTTCAGGACTCTAGAAACAGTCTGTGTGCTGAAATCAAATAAATGACGATGACACCGTGAAAGGGAGAGGAATCTTATGGATGTCAAAGAGTTGTAGATGAGGATCCTAACATCCTAATGTATCATCACGGCTTTCCCACCAGAGACGCAGAGGGAAACTTCACAGAAATCAGTTTCATTTTTTCCCAAATTCCTTTTTGTCCCCCCCCAATTCCATTTTTTTCCATTTCAATTGTTCTGGATTCTGTTTTAATGGTTAAATTATAGTAGCTATTATTATTATTATTCTTAAAATGTTATTAGAATGATATTTTAGGCCCACATGAAATCTCTATTTATTTTTTCTCAGATTCTGCTTTATTTTTCCCAAATTCTGTGCTTTCCATTTTAATGGTTAAATGAAATTTTAGTAATTAAAAAGCATGTTTAATTAATTGAAATCATGACATTTTTACAATTGACAATTACAAATTTTACAATGACAATTTAACAATTCCTTTTAATTTTTCCCACACAACAGAGGTTTACAGCTGTATGATACACCTTAAAATAGTATTATTGTTATTATTAAATCATATTAATAATTTATTATATTATTATTATTATTAAATTATAATTATTATTACTTTGAGAAGTACATTTTACTATACAAAAATAATATATATATCTGGCAAAAACTCTTCAAGCTTGACCAAAATTTTGACAGATTGTTTTAAAGACCTTTGCATTTCTGTGTAAATAATTTTTTATCAAATAAAAAGGTGAGATAATAGTGAATTCTCAAAGCCGTGACATGACAATAGTTTTTATCAAACTAAATGGTGAAATAATAGTTAAGTGAACTCTCCGGAAATTAAGTTTATATGTTCATGTCCTCACCAGACAAGTGTCATGCATACTTGAGTACGTATAGTAGACGAAACCGCATCACTCATTCACACACAGAAAAGCAGAACATACAGATATTTAAATAGCAGTCTTTTTGTGCTTTAGTATTCACAGACATTAGTCTATATCGCAATTCCAAAATCGGCCAAATTCCATGACATTCCACTTTATACTCTAAATTCCATTTTTATTCCAGGATTCTGCAATCCACATTTTCTGTATTGAGGAAATCACAGGGTCCTACTTTATCAATGTTATGATCAACATCATGTAATACATCTGGAGAAAGCGATCTGTGTGTGTGTTCACCTTTATCTGCAGTAGAGATGTTCCAGGAGCGGTGCTCTCGGGTAAGCTGATGTTATAAACCGTCTGGCTGAAGATCGGTCTGTTGTCGTTCTCGTTGACGAGGTCGATGAAGACTCGAGCAAACCCCACATGCTCTGATAGAGACTCGTTGGCATAGAGCTGGAGAGAAGAGCAGCAATGTTACCATCAGCATAAAAAAATTAAAAAATCACACAATGCCAAACACCTAGCGAGCTGCCTATGGAGGATGTATTTTAAGGCACCATCCAAGATAGAAGAACGTTATATTTCATTCAATACTGAAAAATATTAATTAAAAACAATAATCATATACATAAAACAATTGTACATAGCATTTGTGTGTTCCATGTGCTGTATAGAATGCTCCCTTAGTAGGCAGCTACATGAAAGCACTAAACTGCAAAGCAGCTCACTAGGTTTTGGAACAGAGCTAATTTATTAAATCTAAAGTGTCTGATTTATATCACACTTTTATGAGATTTTTATATCTCTGTGATGCAGTATTTAATTGCTGACAAAAAAAAAACGTGGGCAAATGAGCAAAAGACATTACTTTTAGATGAACTGGAACAGATGTTTGCAAGAAACAAGGCTACAAACTGGTTGAGGTAGTGCCTGTTTGAGGGAATCTGCTGTACTGGTCAACAACAATTTGTGAGTGTGTTTTATACTGGTGCAGATTGCAATCATTTGTCAGTTCAGCTAGTATAAGTCCATCGCTGCACGGAGCAGCTTCAGCCAGTTAAACTAAATCAACTGCAGAAACACAGCTGAACTCCAGCAGCATGACAACACTGCTCTCTCTATATAGAAGTACCAGCAATCTATTTGTATTACATTTTCCCCATTCTAAATCTCTGTTTAATTTCTCAAAAAACACTATCCTGGCATGATCATCTATTATCAGTGTATTCTAAATGTTCAAATAAAATGGGCACAGATCCAATGCTTTATAGAGCATTACTGTTGTTCATGCAATGTGTAATGTTATCTGTGAATCATAAGAAAGATGCTCCCTGAATACGAGAACTGATTTTAGCACACGTCCTATAAAACTAACTTAAAATTAAAATCAACTCCATGTACGTCCTTGCAAATTCCTGGTCTTATTGTGAATGATTTATCAGCACAAAGACAGCAGATGTTTGTAAGATAAAATGTAATTTGATCTTACTTTTTAAAAAATCTCTTACTTTTCAATTGCTCCAACCACCTGACACCATGTTCTGCTAAAAATGGCAGATTCGGCATTATGATTGGTCAGATCACTTGTCAATCAAACTTCCTGCGAAGGGTCAATTGCCAATTGCTAAAATCAAGCCCCACTTCATTTTTTTTTTCATGATGAATATCCAGTTTCACTTGTAAAATGCATTTTATGGATGCAAAATAGGTTGTGTTTTGTGTTGATTTTAAATACTCTGCACTGAAATGATCTGAATATTTGTATGCACTAATATCAATATAGGGGCAGATTCAAAATCTATTTGTTTTTATGCAGGTACAACCTTACAGACATATAAATCTTAAAAAATCCTCAGTTTCTATGACAACACAAAATTCATGGAATTTATATACTGATTTACAGTATTTAAACTGAGACAAATTAAATTAGATAAATGCCACTAAATTTAGAATTAAATTTGCACATAACACTGCCATTATGCATAGGCCATTATGCATATTTCACAGTAAATACTTTTATATTGTTACAAAAAATCTATTTAAAATAAATGCTGTTCTTTTGGCCTTTTCCATCCTGAAAAAAAAAACACTGCATTTTCCACAAAAATATTATGCAGCATAAAAAAAAATTCTTGAGAACAAACTCAACATATTAGAATGATTTCTTAAGGATCATGTGACACTAAAGACTGGAGTAATGATGCTGAAAATTCTGAAATTTAGATTAGTGTTTTCTGCACTCACAGAAAAGCTGTAGCTCCTGATGGTTTCGTAGTCCAGTGGGATGGCCACACGCACACGGAGGTCTGCTCTGCCCTGCACTGAGGTGGGAGAGATGCTGAAGTGCTCAGAGTTATTTCCTGTCAGGACCACCTGAAACATGCTGTTCACCCCCTGTAGAGACAGACGGAATAATTTTGCACCATTCTTTTTTTTACTTTATTTAATATTTAATTGTCTATAGCTAAGCAGCAAACAATTCTCCTTCTTTCCATCCTGAAAAAAAACACTGCATTTTCCACAAAAATATTATGCAGCATAAAAAAAAATTATTGAGAACAAACTCAGCATATTAGAATGATTTCTTAAGGATCATGTGACACTAAAGACTGGAGTAATGATGCTGAAAATTCTGAAATTTAGATTAGTGTTTTCTGCACTCACAGAAAAGCTGTAGCTCCTGATGGTTTCGTAGTCCAGTGGGATGGCCACACGCACACGGAGGTCTGCTCTGCCCTGCACTGAGGTGGGAGAGATGCTGAAGTGCTCAGAGTTATTTCCTGTCAGGACCACCTGAAACATGCTGTTCACCCCCTGTAGAGACAGACGGAATAATTTTGCACCATTCTTTTTTTTACTTTATTTAATATTTAATTGTCTATAGCTAAGCAGCAAACAATTCTCCTTCTCAGGTGTTTCTCCTAAGAAAAAGAAACTTATAAGCATCAGAAATTGCACAAGATACGTCGCAGACTGCATAGTGTCAAAGTCAGCCATCAAAACTGACTCAAATATTCTCATCCAAATGTTCTGAGCTGCAATGCAGCTGTAATTTTAAAAGCTCTTATTTGCAGGGTTTCTACAGATTTTTAAAAGGTAAATATACGACTTTTAAAGATCTTTTTAACACCATGTAAAGAAACCGAATGTAATTCTTAAATCAAGATACATTTACTTGAGAAGCAAAATGACATAAGATGAGATTTATTTGTGTGAAATTGATGAAGTTCTTTATTAAAACAAGAACAAATATCTGCAAAAGGGGTCAGAAAAGTCAACTTAATTCAAAGGAAAAACGTGTTTTAATACCCAATTGACATTTATTTATTCTTGTTTTAAGTACAAACTAAAAATAAAATGTAACTTTGTTCAAAACTACATTCAATTTGAATCTCAAGTAAATATATTTTGATTTAAGGATGTTTAGATATATGTATTTGAAAACAAATATAGAAAGAACTATTTATTCAGTGCATTCAACATTTAATGCAATGACTTTATGAATTTAAGTCTTTCTGCTCCCATTGAAGACCTTTTAAGGCCTTAATTTGTGAAAGTGTGAATTAAGACTTTTAAAGACCTTTTCAAGACCTGCAGAAACTCTTGATTTGTGTCTATTTCCCTTTCTCCAAAGGAATTTGAGGGGGAAAACTGCGACTGTTCATACCAACAAATCATGAGCGAGTCATGAAACTCTAGATGATGCAAGCACAGATGCAAGCTGATTGGTTCATGTTGCATATGCAGCCAATTAGCTCACTGCTTTACATCTAAATGGCTGGTTAGAATTCACTAGAGCATTTCACAGTGTGCTATCAGAGTTCCTCTGAAGCCCTCCACCTTCCCCAGCTCCACCTGTATAGATCTAATATGGGTTATTATATACAGTATGCTACTTGTGCAGCAGCAGTATGTCTTAAATACTCATAGAACTGTATCAGCGTATGTATTGGCAGTAGCAAGTTCCTGTACTTGCTTTGCAGCAGCAGCAATAGTCTACAACAACAGCAATAACCAACAGCAACAGCTTTTCAGCAGTGTAGCAGATCTATTCTGCCAAGACCAAATATGTTAACATTGTCATATCCATTACCGTGCTAAAGAGTTGTCATGATAAAACTCCATTAAGTCTTATAAAAAACAACTATGAGCAAAATTGAGCGTACATCACACCTGCAAAAAGTTCCTCTCTCATCCTTTTTTCAAATGTTAGAGTGTGTTTTGACAGTGATTTTATTGGATGGACTCAAAATAAAACTTTACTTAAAAAACTAATAAAATGTTCTGCAATAATCATTTCTGTCTCCCGTCGCTGTTTCAGGTACAGAGAGATCCTGAGCAAATGGAGAGATGACAGGAAGTCCCTCATTAGTGTCATTCTCTCTTCCGTGAGGCCGGTGAGGGGAAGACAGGACATATGGCAGAAAATAAATTCAATGACTCAACACTGTCTTAGAAAGCGCAATTTTCATACATTACACACACTGCATCACACACTCTGATTGAATACAATGCTAATGTGTGAGTGAGGCAGCTGGAGAGAGATTCGCTGACTAAAAACCACAGAGGTGCGTGAGCTGTCACAACAACTTATGACGAGAAGAAATATCTGGAATATAGTTCAGACGGAAAGCGAAGCAAACATACCGACCCAGACACACACATAAGCACGTACGCAAACACACTCAAAAAGCAATAATGTTGAGCATGGTGAGAAGAATCTGTGATTGATTATTGTGTGTGCTTACTTGCTGCTTATCTCTACTAAGTCCACACTTATCTGTCTCTACAATCACTCCATCTCTTCGAGTCTCCTTCTCTCTTTCTTTTTTTCTCGTAATCTCTCTCTCACACAAAAAGGAGAAGATGGGTTGAGGGTTTTGCTCTTATCAGATCTCACATGCACACATAGGAACTGACAAACCAACATGGTAGACCTACAAACCATGTGTACTAGTGTATTTCTTAGTGCTGGGTGATATAGTGAATATTCAGGATGTATTCATGGTTATTTTGCTGGCGATATAAAATTAAGCAACATTATGAATATCGCAACAGTTTTAATGAGCTTTTTGTTTGGTCATTAAGCTTCCTAAAGAGTGTGTCATTACAGTAATTTAGCAATCCTGCTTGCGACTTATCAGTATGAGAGGGCATCATTGTCATCAGTTCAACCTGTTTCAATAAATACCTGTGATTAATAATATAGTATTGTTATGTTGGTTCATAAAAATGAATGCCAAAATTAAAAATGTTCTTTTATTTAATAAAAAAAAGTGTGAAAGTCTCAAGACGCAAAATACAGTATAGAGATACTGTAATTTTCTTAACGTTACAGGAGACAATAACTAATTATCATACTTTTTACTCCATAAACATTTCCACTATTTTTGACCAAACAGTTTGATAAAGTAAATATGGTAAGTTGTCACAATAGTTCACAGGCTTCCAGCTAAATTTCAATACAACTTTAATAACTAAAACTATTTGAGGGAATATATAGTGCTGTGAATAT